AAAGGAATTAATGAAAAAAAATGTAAAGGAAGGAGGTCTAGTAGCACCAGATTTTAAACTGTATTGCAAGGTGGTAATTATCAAAATTATCTGGCTAAGAAATAGAATAAGTATACAATACACAGCAGTAAATGACTGTACTAACCTTGTGTTTGATAAATGCGAAGATTTAAGCATTTGGGCTGAGAACTCGCTCTTTGGTAAAAATTGCTGGAAAAATTGGAAAGCAGTCTGGCAGAAATTAGGTATGAAAAAAATATACAAAAAAAGAAAAAGAAATTAGGTATGGACCAATATCTCACACCATTTAATGTCAAAATGGATACGTGACCTTAAAGGAAGATATTATAAGTAAATTAGAGGAGAATGGAACATATTACCTATCAGATTTATGGATAAGAGAAGAATTTATGAATAAACAAGATAGTGTTGTGGGATATAAGATGGGTGATTTTGATTACATTAAATTAAAAAGGTTTTGTATAAATAAAAGTAATGTAGTCAAGATTATAAGGAAAGCAGAAAATAGGGGGGGAAATTTTTATAGCCAGTTTCTTGAATAAAGGCCTTATATCTCAAATATATAGAGAACTGAGTCAAATTTATAAGAATATGAGTTATTCTCCAATTATTAAATGGCCAAAGGATATGACCAGGTAGTTTTGGGAAGAAGAAATCAAAGCTATGTAGTCATATGAAAAAATGCTCTAAATCGTTATTAATTAGATGCAAATTAAAACAAATCAGATGCTATTTCACACCTATCAGATTAGCTAAAATGGTAGAAAGGGGAAATGACAAATGTTGAAGGGGATGTGGAAAAATTGGCTCACTAATGAACCAATCCAGCCATCTTGGAAAGTAATTTGGAATTATGTCCAAAGAATTATAACACTCTGTATACCCTTTGACCTAGCTATACTACTATTAGATCTGTTTCCCAAGGTGATTGGGAAAAAGGAAAAGAATTTAATGTGTTCTCAAACATTTATAGCAGCTTTCTTTGTGGTGGCAAAGTACTGGAAAGTGAGGGGATATCCATCAACTGGTTAATAGCTGAATAAATTATGCATATGATTGTGATGGAATACTACTGTGTTATAAGAAATGATGAGCATGCTGGTTTTAGAAAAACACCCATGAGTGAAACAAGCAGAACCAAGAGAACATTGTATACAGTAACAGCAATATTATTCAAAGTGACTGTGAATGACTAAGCTATTCTGAGTAATGTGATTATTCCTATCAACTGTAACTTATAAAGGAAAATGCCATCCACCTCCAGAGGAAGGTCTGATATGTGAAAGTATGTAGCTCTGTGTGTGTGTGTGTGTGTGTGTGTATACACCACACACACACACACACACACACACACAGATACACACACAGATACACACACGTCAAATGTTGGCTTTCTGTAATACAGGTAGAGACGGTTGGAGGGAGAAAACTTGAAACTCAAAATGTAACAAATAAATAGAATAATTAATGAAAAATGAAATGCATCACTGCAGGTCTGTGAAAAACCACAAATTAACATTATCTATGTTGTATTTTTATTTATTTTGTTAAAATTTTCCTTTTACATTTGAATTTAGTTGGTATAGCGCTGTTTTGGAGGCATGCAGGCTTTTTGTTTGACATCTCTGGCCTAGAGGGCAGTACCACTAGGTGGATTCAGGTCTGTTTAGAATTCTGAAATTCTGTGATTCTGTCAAGGGAGGGAGTGAAGATAAGGGAGTTATTGCTAGAGCAAGGTCACAGAGGAGATAGGAGGGGATAAGACTGAGTTGGGGATGGAATGGTGACAGGCTAGCAAAGAAGAGGGCCACCTGGTCCTCTGAGACTAAAGGGAAGGAGGAGAGAATAAGTGAGGACATTGAGAGGAGGAAAGAGTAGAGGTTAATTCCCAGCAGAGGGCTTTAATCTTTTTGGCTAGGTTGGAGGTGAGGTTATCTGCTAAGAATGGGGAAGGAGGGGAAGAAGGAGGGAGTGAAATTGGGGTTTGAAGAGATTTGCAACAGCTGCTTTGGGAAGCATGAAAATCACTTTGCCTTGCAACATTAAGAGCCCTGTTGGGGCCAGATAGTCGAAGTGTGTAGTGGACAAGTCAGCAAGATTTCCTGATGTTTGTTTGTCCCAACAGCTCTGGGCAGCTTAGGAGTAAGGGAGGGGAGGCTAGATGGTAGGAGTTAGCCATGGCTGAGAGTTAGTGGGGGCACAAACAGGAGAAGGGCTTCAATGAAAAGATTCCAAGATGGAGGAGCAGGCAGTATTTTGAACACCAGAGCTCTAGGAGATTGGTAGGAGGCCAGCTTGCCATCTAGATTAGTGAGCTACAAAGTGACCCCAAGGAGTGTGTGATTAACTGATTTGGAAGAGTTTGAGGATGGGGCACATCCTGCCCTCACAGCTGTAGCCAATACACACCCAGCCTTATATCTCCTCACTCTCATCTACTTTCTGCGATGGAAGCTCTGGACTCCACCTTTCTGGGCTAGTCTAATTGGAGTATTACCCAGGTTGGCATAGGGGAGGTGGGGGGGATAGAGTAAGTGACACAGGATACAGAATGGATGAGTTGTGGTCTTTCTCATTTAATTATCACCCCTTTTCTGCAAGGACGCTATCATCTTTCCAGTCACCCACATCCTCACCTTTGACTCCTCACTCTCCCTCACCCCATATATCACATCAGTGGCAAATCTGGTCATTTTGTCGCCCAGGACATCTCTCCCCTGGTCCCCTTCTCTCCACTCAGAGCTGCCACCCTAGTTCTGCCTCTCATTACCTCACCCATGAGTGCTTGCAGCAGCCTTCTTACCTCAGGTCTTTCCTCACTCGGATTCACCCTAGATGCTACTGCTAAAGTGATTTTCCTTAAGCACAGATCTGACCATGTGACTCTCCCTCTTTGGCTAATCTCAGTGGCTTCCTATTGCCCTTGGGATAAAATGTTATTTCATCTTTATCTCATCCTTTTTTAAGTTTTACAGTGCATATAATTACTAATGCAGCAGTCTATGTCTATAATTTATTAATAAGTAAATACATATGTTGGGCCTGCGTACTCAGGATATTTTTTTTTTACTGATAGGGTGTGTGACCAGAAGAGTTTGGAGACCACTGATTTAGACAGATTTCAGCAATCTCCCAACAACAAACAGTGGAACCTTGGGATTCAGGTTTTTCCCCATTGCCTGGGACTCTGTTTGCTTCACTTTCCTCCCTTCACCTTCCTCTGGGCCTGAAAACAATGGTTCAGAAGCAGCTTTGGAATTTTATCTTTCTTGACTAACAAGGGTAAACCTGGGTCCTTTAATCTGCTGATATAGTTTCTATTCCTGGTAGAATCTTGGTTACTCCCAGTTAGCACCTGTACTCCAGTAGTGATTACTACATAAAGATGAGCAACTTACTTTTGTTGGTGTTGGCCCCGGCTTGCGGCTGCCTCTAGGGCAGTGGTGGTGGTGAAGGGGTGCAACCCTTGGCTCCCACAAAGATTTCATTTCTGGCCCTGAAAAATTGGGTATGTGATCAAAACTAGCCCAAGTGGTTACAATAGAGCCTTGATTTCTAAGAAAAACGGTGGAGTGCTAGTTGGTACTCTTGGTTTCTGTGAAACAGTGAAGGGCACGTGTAGTAAATCAATATGAAGAAGGCTGTAGAAAATGTTGCCATCTTAATTGTTATTAAGATACCAAGACTGAAGAAGTCTTGTCCGACACAGGGTCTGTAGAGAACTTTAGAGCTGGGAGACCCTTGCAGAGATTCTTTGGTTCAAATGCATACACCCACGCCCATTGGCACCCAGCATTTTCATTTCCTTAGCCCTCACCTGGAGGAATAATCCCGACGTATTTATGAAATGCCTAACACCCGGGATGCTATTTTGTAATCTGTGAGATGTGAGTTCATTGAGGGTCTGCTCTTTGTAACCTGGTGCCCCTTTAAGAAAGTTCCCCATAGAAGCCCGTGTCAGAGGAGATTCGATTGCAATCAGCTGGGTCTCGAAGGGAAAAAGGCTTAGTTGCAGGGGCTTGGTCAGCAGAGGGAGAGGTGGGGGGTATCTCAGCAAACTGGAGCCTGGACGGCATCAAAGCTGTCGCCTTCATTGGTCGAGGGAGCACCTGCAGAGATGGGAAGTAAGAGAGGAAAATGGGGGGGGGGACAGGAACCCAAAGAGTTTTTTCTCCAAAAGTGCTGGAGAAACCCCTTTCTTATGGGGCCATGAAGCCTATCCTAATCTTCCAAACCATTAGCAATCTTTCCTTCATCTAATCTCATGCGTAACATTTTGTGCTTCTAGAGGCTAATGTTTATCTGTGGTATGAGGCTAAAGCCCCCAGTAAGCCAAAAGTTCCTTCAGGATAGGTCTCATTTATCTGGCTAGCTCCTTACCTCTTCCCTTCAGCAAGGTTGGTTATACTCGGTAGGTTCCTAATAATACTTGAGGAAGCTAGCTGGCCCAGTGGATAGAGCCCTTGACTTGGAGTTGGGCCCTGAGTTCAAATCCTGCCTCAGACACTTCCTTAGCCAGTCACTTCACCTCTGTCTCAGTTTCTTCATCTGTAAAATGGAGATAATACCTGCCTCCTCAAGTTGTTGTGAGGTCAAATGAGATATTTGTAAAGCACTCTGCATGCCATGCCCAACTCTTCCAGACAAAGACTCTTCTTGGCAAAGATACTGGAATGGTTTGCCATTTCCTTCACCAGCTCACTTTATAGATGAGGAACTGAGGCAAACAGGTGAAGTGACTTGCCCAGGGTCACGGTAGTAAGTGTCTGAGGCAGGATTTGAACTTGGGAAGATGAGTCTTCCTCTGACTCTAGGCCCTGCACCTTATCTACTGCAGCACCACCTAGCTGCAAACCTTAAAAACCTGTACAGATGTTAGCCACCGTTAGCTAGCTCTCTGCTCTTACTGAAGGTGCTTGGGGGCTGACCACGCGGTTTGGTCGCTGTAACCGGAGGATGGCCACCATCATACCCAATGAATGAAAATTCATACTAGTTGGGGCCATTTGAAGAGACTGTCACCAATTTTCCCCAACTGCTGCTTGAACTTCCTAGACAACGTACGATTTGGGGACACGAGAAAGAATTGTTCTATTTGGAGCAAGGCTCCCGTCGGCATTCAATACCACCTGAAGGTTGCACAGCAGTAGAACAGGTAGCTGTGTCCGGCACTTGGAGCTGACCCTTTGGGGAGTGGGGGCCTGTGTGCATCGAGTGTCTGGCTGTAAGAACTGGCTTTGCTGAAAAGAGGAGAAAATCCTACAAAGAATTGTTCCCCTTTTCATTCTAAGCAATTATTGGCTCTCTCGCTTTCTTAGGCTGTTGCTCAAGGGGATTTTCAGCGAGCAGTCACGTGCATCCAACGCTGCAAAGATATGCTGATGAGACTGCCCGGAGTGGTGAGTGAAATCTCGGCTTTTTTTCTTTTCTTTTTTTCTGGGGGTGTGTGTATGTGTGTAAATGTTTTTATTTTAAACTCGAATACAAAATGAGAAAAGAAACCCAAACCCTGCCATGTACACAGCAGACCATAAGAGAGAATTCAGTATCAAACGGCAAATGTCCATTTCAAGAAAACCTAGGTAACAGATACTACACACTGTTTTCCAAGCTGCCTGGCCTTTCTTGGCTTCCTTGTTGGCTTTCTTTTGTTCTGTGCTGTGCACTTCTCAGCTTTTGTTTTCAAAGCTGTCGGCCCTGCCACTCTCCTCAGCCCCTTAGCCCACCCCCCCACCCCTGCCTTTTAGAAAGGCTTCTAGCTGTTTCCTGAAGCTCTCTGAAGATTTCACTTTGGACCGAGCTCTTCTGGTAAATGCCTAGATTTGAAGCTTGTTTACTAAGGGTGAGCTAATCAAAAACAAATTGAAAATAGGTAAGTTCTTTGCTTCCCCTTTTCTCATGAAACCAGAACACATTTCTAAATTTCATGCCCCCTGAAGCAATGGTACTTTGGGGACAAGCATGAGCAAATCGAATTCAGAGTAGTTATTGGCATCTCTGCGGTGCAGGGGCTGGACGTTTGTAGTTCAGACGCATGCGGATCTTGGCAGTGTCTGACCCATTCCCATGGCTGGGCTGTAGTATAATGATAAGGTCAGAGAAATTCAATTTGGGACCCTTCTTCCCCTTTCTACTCCCGCTTCTGCCCTTCTCTCCAGCGACCTCCCCCAGGCCCATGGTGTACCCATGCTGCCAGTCTCTTGTCACAGAGGAAATGGAATATGGGGAGAGCTCAAATCATACGGGGGCAGGGGTGGCCTGCTCCAAGGGAGGGCTTCCCAAAAAGGGCTGCTCTGCTTCATATTTTAAAAAGGGAATGGGGTTCCAAATGGATTCTTTTAAAAATGTGTTGATATTTTTGTTTGAACAGCATCCTCAGTTCCAAATATGTCCCTCTGTCCTCGCCCTCCCCAGACGACCCCACACATTAGTAGAGCCATTAGAATGTGCTTGTAGCCCTGCCTCTGCAAAGGGGGGAGGGAGGTGCATTTCCCCACCTCTTCTTTGGAGTCAAGTCTGGTCACAAAAATGTTCTTTCAACGACTCAGCTCGATTTCTGATATGCATCTCTGAACTGAAGAGATCAGACAGGCAGTCACTGAGGTCTCTTCCAGCTCTTGGGGTCTCGGCATTTTATGGTCGTGTACCAAGATTATTCTGAAACGTGATCATATTAATAGGTAGCTAACATCTTTACTATGTGCCAGATACCTTATTTCCTTAAATATTTTCTCTCTACAGACTTAGTGCAAGGGACATGTTGAAACGTGTTTGCACACTTTAAAGAACTTTTGCTACATCTCCTGTTTTAGCTGTAGGTATGCTTGATATTTTTTCTGTCATTTCTTGCATGCCAGCGTAGCCCATGTAAGAGTTCAGCATCCTTATCCTGACTCCCACTCGCATCGAGGAGTCAGTCTTCCTAGAGCTGGGCTGTGGGCTCTGGCGTTACCCCTGACGGTTTAGAGACTTCATTCAAATACTCTTGGCTCAAGCCCCTATTCCAGCATGTTCTCCCTTAGGGCAGGAAAGAAGAGACGCAATAGAGATAGAAAACAGCTGTGTCATGGGCATGGCTACATGTCTGCCCAGGTAAGGAAAAAAGTCTTCTCTTTCTACCTGGAAGCTTACAATGCTCCTTATTGCAAGGTAGCAGAGAAAAAGGAGTGGGGTAGGGGGAGAAGCAGATGGATGGATGGATGGATGGGTGGGTGGGTGGAAAGGAGGGAGGAGGGAAGGAGAGAGAAAGAAGGGGAGTGAGACAGATTCACTGGCTCATCAGTGACTTTTGAATGTGTACCCAGTTATGGTTCAGCAGCCAGTTAAAAGCCTATTTCTTCACTACATGGTTAGTAGACTGGGAAACAGAGAACACTGTACCTGCACATGCTTCGAAGCCCATTCTTGGAAGGGCTAGGCTTGGCCAGTCCCCTGTTACCCAAGTTATTGCTGGTAATGTTCTATATCCTACTTGTATCCATTATGCCTTGCTCTTGCCCTGTGGGAATCTGACATTTGGGATTCTGCCGAGATCGTGGTGTGCCATGATTCACATCTATGGGCATCACGGGAACGATGTCAGTGTTACAAGATGGGCAGGGAAAGGGATGCACGGTTTCCTAAATGCCATCTGATTTGCTTTCTCCTCGACTCTGGGTCCAGCTCATTATCCAAGGTCGCTATATCTATGGACGAAGTCAAAGTGCTCCTCATCCAGCTGCATGTCATAATCCAGACACTAGGCCTTCTTTAGACTATCATAGACTTAAGGCTAGGCAAGCCCTTAGAAGCCATCTGGCAGATGAGGAAACTGAGGTCCAGAGAAAGGAAGTGACTTGCTTCAGGCAGTAAGTACCTAAGTTTGGATTTGAATCCAGGACCTTCAACTCCAAATCCATCATGTCACATAGCAAACAGGCCAATCATTTTTGAGGGGCTGTGGATCTCATTCAGAAAGCCCTCCGATACCATTCCATCTCGGCAGGATAGCCCTCACAACGGTGGTGAGCACATTTGGCAAGTGCGTTTCTCTCTTAAGTTTAGTTTCATATCAATAAGCAGAGGATCATTGCACAGAATTCTTTCTGTGATTGCATGTTATGCCTTCTAAGGATTGATTGTGGATGCTTAGACTGGTGAAAAGAAGATTCAGGAAGAATATAAGTCTTCAAGTATCTGAAGGACTCTTGTGGAAGGGGAAGGGGATGGCCTCAGAGGGGCAACTAAAAACAATGGGGAGAAGTTGAAAAGCAGAAAAGTCGAGCTTGATTTCAAGACAGATGTCTTAATGTGTGCAGTTGGGGGACATGTGCAGTGCAGCCTTGGGAGACAACAGATTCTCTCTCATTCAAGATCTTTAAGTTGTCCGAATGACCGATTGTCAGGTTTGGTGAAGTGAGAGCCTTTTTCTGCTACAGATTGAACTAGGTGGGACTCCAGTGTCTGTCAACTGATATTTGGTGATTCTGTCAAAGAATGTTGTATGATGCCAGGTTAGGCTTGGGAGCCTAATTAGTACATTAGAACATTTTCATATTGCTGTTGATGACTCTTGAATTGCATGGTAGACTAGACTGTATTGGTGAATTTTGCATTATCTTGATTAAAAATTTCTAACCTCTAGTTCTGAGGTGTGCCCTAGGGTGTTTTCAAAAACGAGTATCATTAAATTTTCCCAGCTCCTCAGTCAATCGATCCGTTAATAAGCACTTAGCTCGCTATGTGCCAGGCATGGTGCCAAGTGCTGTGGATACAAAGAAAGGTGAAAACACGGTCCTGCCCTCAAGGAGCTCACTTTCTAATGGGGGAGACTGCATGGAAACCACCGTGTGCACAGAAGAGAGATCCAGGGGAACTGGGAGTTAAGCTTAGTGGAAAAGCACTGCGTCATGGAGGATTGGGAAAGGCTTCTTTTAGAAAGTGACACCTGAGCCTAGAGGTGAGGAGAGAGCATTCTAGGCATGGGGGCCTGCCGGTGCAAAGGCACAGAACTGGGAAATGGAGGGTCTTCTCTGAGAAATAGCCAGCAGGCCTTTGTCACTGGAGTGTAGACTGGACAGATCAGAAGGAGCCAACTTGGGAAGAGCTTTAAATAGCAAGCAGAGGACTTTGGATTTGTTCCTGGAGATAACAGAGAGTTTGTTAAATACAGAGGTGACGTACTGAGAACGGTGCATGCGTTAGGAAAACCCCTTTGGCAGCTGAGTTGGAAGGTGGTGGTTTGGAGAGGGCAGAAACTTGGGGCAGGAGACTAATTAGAAGGCTAAAGACTCTCCAGGTGAGAGTTGAGAAGGGCCTTGACTAGGATGGTGGCTTTGTGAGTGGAGCAAAGAGAGATGTGAAGTGAGAAATGTCAAGGCTTGCCAACAGATTGGCCAAGTGGCTTGAGTGAGAGTGAAGAGTTGAGGCCGACATTGAAGCTATGAGCTTGGATGATGGGAGGATGGTGGGGCCCTTGTCAGTAGTAAGGAGAAAGTCAGAGGAGGGGAGGGCTTGGAGGGAAGATCATGAGTTTAGTTTTGGACGTGCTAAGCTTAAGATAACTATGGGACACATAATTTGAGGTGTCCAAAGGCAAGTTGATAATAGTAGGAGACTGGAGCTGTCTACATAACTCTGGCAGTCATCTCCAAGGAGATGACAATTGAATCCATGGGAGGTGATGAGATCACCAAGCAACTTAATAGAGCACAAGGCCCAGGATAGCTCCTCAGACCCTGGCAATTAATGGGCATGACCTAGATGAAGGTCTATCAAAGGAAACTGAGAAGGGGAGTGCTTAAGAGGAGAGAGCAGTGTGACAAAACCTAGAGAGGAAGGTGAAGGGCAGTGTCAGAGGCTGCACAGGTCAAGATGGATAAAGACTGAGAAGAGGCCATTGGATACGCTACCTAGGAGGTCATTGGTGGCTTTGACTGGATGAGGAGGTTGGAAGCTAAATTATAGAGGGTTTAGAAATAAGTGACTGTAGAGGAAGTAGAAGCATCTAGTTTAGACTGATTTCTAAAGGACTTGAGCTGAGAAGAGGAAGGCCCTAACCCTACAGATACAGAGTGTCCGCACGGGGGAGGGGGGGGGAGGGCTGCACCACCAAGTAAGGGGTTTTTAAGAATGGGAGAGAGATGAGGAAGTTTAGAAGCGGCCAGCAGATAGGGAGATATTGAAGTTTAGAGAGAGAATGGATGTAATCTGTTGGAAAAGTGGAGAGTGGATACGACCAGAGGTTTAGAGCTGGAAGGGGACCCCAAAGGCCATGTAGTCTGAAGCTCTCATTTTACAGAGAAGGAAACAGTCTCAGAGAAGTTAAGTGACTTGCCTTAGGCCACATGGGTCTTATGTAACAGAGGTGAGATTTGAATCCAGGTGTTCTGATTCTAAATTCAATGTTCTTTCTACTATT